CCCCTCTCTCTCTCTCTCTCTCTCTCTCCCTCCCCCTCTCTCTCTCTCTCCTTTTTTGTTAATTGAATAGATTTTTTTTCTTTAGTGGTTTTTTCCAACCTGCTATTCGAAAGAAATAGGAATGGTTCTCTATCACATCTAACCAAGCCAGAATAATAGATTAGATATAAATTAGATAAAATGAGTTAGAAAAAAAAGGAACACTTAGGCTGATTTCAAGATGTATAATAGAATCAAAGGGATTTTTACTTTATTCAAGCATTGGATCTCCTGTCTCATCTCAATTAAGAGGGGTCATGGAAAGAACATGTTCAAAGTCACGATCAATTCCTTTTTCAAATCCTGTTACAGGTGCACGAACCCTTCTCGCGTACCACAACTAACCTACGAAGAAGAAGAATTCTAGAACAAAATGAGAGGTAACTAACCAACTTCTAGGAGAGACATAATTGATTGCATTGATCTCGGTAGATACACCACCCACAAAATTTAAAGAACCTAAAGGAGCACGAGTCATATATTCTGCGGAATGTCATTCCTGCCAAGGTCGTATGTCCTTTTGCAACCTACTCAAGTCTAACCCATTTGGACCCCTTAGAGGCTCTAAGCATGGAGTACGCAGATCCCAAAAATACATAGTTTCTCATCTAAAAATAACTTTTTCGGTTGGGGAACGCATTAGATATTTACCTAAACTAGTAGGTCCTTGAGCGGTCCCAAGTTAGCTCAGGACATTGGTCTCTAACTAGAAAAGTAAATGATTGATCTTGAGAAGCTTCTGGTGCAGTAGGTCCGTAAAATTCACTAGGATAAGTGATATTATTGAACCATACAAAACTACAAGCAATAAAATAAATACGGATAAAGTCCCTAAACCATAAGATAAGTAAGCTTTTCCAGACCATACAAGTGCGCGCCGATCCTATGCGAAGGGTTTGGTTAAGATATGCCATATTCCACAAAGTATACAAATGGAACCTAACCATATCGCAAAAAGCCATTAAGCTATTTTTTGTAATAAATAAATCACTCGAATTTTCCTAAAGTACTAAAACGGCTAAGCAACTTTTGTTGTAACCAAAAGGCCATTCAACTTTGTTTGAGCATATAAACAACAACAACAATAACTACATCTCAATCCCAAACAAGTTCGGATCAGCGATATGAATCTTCACTCTTTCATTTAGTTCAACTCATATCATCATCATTACCAAAATAAAATAAAGCAAGAAAAAAAGATAAATATATAATTATAATAATAATAATAATAATAATAATAACAACCAAGTCTAAAACTGTTCCCAGCTAGTAGGTATCACATATATAGATTTTTCTCTTTATTATACCTTATCTTTTGCTAAGTCTATATTGATTTCATCAATTTGAAGGTCTTTCGAGCTAACTTCTTCCATGTGATTTTAGGTCTAACCCGTCCGCTTTTAACACCGTCACTCATCATAGTTTCATACCTATGGACCAGTGCATCTGTAGGTCGACGCAGGACATGACCAAACCATCTCAAGCGACATTTTCTCATTTTATCCTCAATGTGTACTACTTGCACCTTCTGGTGAGTGTGGGCATTTTTAATCTTATCTAATATTATGTGACTACCCATCCATCTTAGTATTCGCATTCTGCAACACTCATCTTGTGGATATATTGAAATTCATTTTCATATAACATAGCCGATCTTATAGTTGTTCTACAGAATTTACCTTTCACCTTGGTAAGCATCCTTTTGTCACATAATACCCTGGTAGTACTTCTCCATTTTAATCATCATATTTTAATCCATTGAGTAACATCTTCATCTATCGTTTCATTCTCTTGATATAATGAGCATAGACTTGTAGTTTATGTACTCAGTCTTACTTCTATTTATCTTAAAACCCTTACTCTCTAAGGTGTTTCTCTATAGATCAAGTTTTACCCTTACTAGTTTCGCCACTACCACAATATCATAAGCAAATAACATATATACACCATGGAACCTCATCTAGTATTTAGTTAGCTCATCCATAACCAAGATAAATAAGTAGGAATTCAATGCAGAACTCTGGTGTAAACACACTGTTATGGATTTTGTATATCCTACTATTGTTTTCACGCTAGTGATAACTTCTTCATACATGTTATTTATGATATTTATATATTTAACACGAATTTTTTTTTTCTTCATCACCCACCAAAGAACCTTTTGTGGTACTAAATTATATATATGCTTTCTCTTGGTAAAGAAAAATATATTTTCGTTATAAAAAAATAATTTAGTGATATTAGTGCAATAAGGTAAAAAGATCATCCAGCTAGCCCGATAAACAAAGCCCTCACAAATAGTCTTTATAAAGGAATTATTACACGGGTTAGATTCACCTTTTACTTTTTCTAACCGTATACATAAATTATATATTAATTATATGCAATTATATACATATTATACATGAATGTTACATATATTATATATCCGCCCACTATTTTTAATTTAGAAAATTAGATGGGCGGCTATTTGGTTAAATCTTCTTCTATAAAACATGCGTTCAACAAGTTGATTGAAAGTCAATTTCCACCTTCCATCCACTGCCATAAATTATTAAGTATTCAAATATCAACTTCCACCTTCACCGACACTATTTCTCAGCATTATAAATATTCCACTTCCACAGGGTGCTAAACACTAGTGATCATGGGGATAATAGGAGATATTGTGAGACATCCAAATGAGATATACCCATTGATGAAGCTGTTGGTAACAGCAAAATTAGCAGAAAAACAAATTCCTTCAAAGCCAAACTGGAGATTTTGCTATCTCATGCTCCGCAACATCTCTCGCAGCTTCTCTCTCGTCATTCAACAGCTTCCCCTTGAGCTTCGAGACGCTGTAAGTTTTCTTACCTTCTCTCTGTTTTCTTTCTTTTTTTGTTGACTTTAAATTTTAGTGTAATATATGCTACCATCTCCACAGACTTTAGCCACATCTTAACTTATGGCTGTAGAATGAAGCTTTGTTCCAACAAAAATAAAATATTTATATGAAAAGGACAGTTCGGTGCATTAAGCTCCCCTATGTGTGGGATCCTGTGAAGGGTCGAATTATAAGGGTCTATTATACGCAGCCTTATCCTGTATTTTTGTAAGAGGCTGTTTTCACGGCTCGAACCCGTGACCTCCTGGTCACATGGCAGCAAGTTTACTCATTATATTTAAATATAAGCTCCCGCTATGTTTGGGGTCCGGTGAAGTGCCGAACCATAAGTGTCTATGGTACGCAGCCTTACCCTACATTTCTGTGAAAGACTGTTTCCACAGCTCGAACCTGTGACCTCCTTATCATATGGCAGCAACTTTATCAGTTATGCCAAGACTCCCCTTCAAATAACATATTTATATATTTGAATATAATTTAATTTTAAAGTTTTTGTTATGTCCTTAATATTATAGGAGTATTTTTATAGACACAAAACTTTTATGATATGTTTAAAACAACTAATCCTAAAAGTTTTTCTTTTTCTCTTAAATTCAGTATGTTGCGTGTAAATCAAATTCGTTCTTTTTTATATTTTATAAATATAATTTGCGTATTTCCAAGGAATTGAACGTGTATCAATGGTGACTTGTCTCCTTTCTCTGCCATGTATAATGCAAGTGGCCTACATGTTCTCCTCAAGTCTAATACGTAACTGTATGTGCTTTGACTAAAATGATTTATTTGCAATAATGTAATGCCAGCTACTCCATTATCACTAGGCTGCTAGCTTATACCTAAACTATACCACTAGTATTTAATTTTTATATACTTAGTTTGTACAATTTTTACAAAATATAAGCTCATTAAATTGTGCATATTTTATTTGGTGTTGCTTTTATAGAATAGCAAACTACAACAACTACGTCTCAATCGCAAACAAAGTTGGTGTGAACAATATAAATTTTCACTTTCTTTGTTTAAGCTCTGCTCATATCTTCATACCAAAATAGAAAAAGAAATATATATANTATATATATATATATATATATATATATATATATATATATATATATATATATATATATATATGTACCCCCGTATCAGCTTATGTGACGGTATATTTGACTTGCCACCTTTATCCAATACACTCTTTTTAAAATTATAAGTAGTACTTAATATGTTTCACTTTCAAAAATAAAATATTAGAATCAATTTTAACATTTAATTTCTAGCACCGTGTATACTCAATATATGGTCGTATAAATTGAACGGAGTTTTAAAATTCATGGATTCGGTATTTGAACAACACTTTGGACAACTGTATTCCTTTTGATAAAAAAGATTACTACTCTCTCCTTTCAATTTTCACGCCCCTTAAGAAATATAATAAATGAAGTGCATAATTCATCATGGTTTTCATATTAATTGATGCATATTTTATTGGATTTGAGAAAATGATTTGAAATGAGTAATAAATACTATAGGAATAATAGGGAAAAAAAAATTGTCTTCTCCTGATATACGTAAAGCGAAAAGTAAAAATAAAATTTATTTTTAGTATACATGCAAAGTAAAAGTGAACGGAGGGAGTATTTGTAATAAAATGTATTGTCAGCTATTATGATGCTAGGCTGACAAGTAGAGTTAAACTTTTTATTTAATACAACTTATTGTTTTTTTTAAAAGACATCTTATATGTTACTGTACGTAATTTAATTTGTGAAATTTTTGGAGTTCATTAATTTAACTATCTTATTGTTTTATTTATTACTATCATAAGACAAACATAGAATCGATTTCTTTATCAGATATTCCCGAAGGAACACGTACATTTTTATCTAGTAAATAGTAATTAAAATTTACATTGTCTTTTCATGGTATAGGTATACAGCCTTTTGATTCAATATTCATTAATGACGATATTTTAACCAAAAACGCGTGGTTTCACCCGAGGACAAGCAACGAGTAATTTTACACATGCCCACGAACGCGTGGTTTTGACTCTTCAATCACCACAAACGAGCGGTTTCCAACAAGGTCACCACAAACAAAGGTATTTGGAATAGGTTGGGTTGGGTTTGGAAAAGGCCTAAAAATGCCATTCAACTTTCAGAAAAGACTTATGCGTTAAAAAAATGCTCACTCCATGTCATTGCCGTTACACATAATGCTCACATATGCCATTAATGAACTAATGGCACAAAATTCTATTTTTTTAATTTTTTTAAACCCCAAAATTTCCACGTGTAATATCCTCATTTGTCTGAATTAACCCATGCCTCACACTATTTTAACCTGGGTTATGTCGATTAACCCAAACCCAACCCCGGTTAACTTATTACCCCATTAATCAACCCAACCCCAACCAAACCCAACCCATTAATTAATGAACGGGAGGAGCAATACCTTTAGCAAGATTGAAAAACAAATGTGATGAGTCTAAAATATTAATGTCATTATTGGAGCGGGCATACCAAAATATGCATGCCATATCCAAAGGTCAAAATCAGCTACAACTTCAAGAATAATTGTTAGGGATCCACTGCTACCTGCATATTGTCCAGCATGCTGTTGGACAATTTTTTCATCTCCAATGCATGCAATCTAGACTACCTAGAATTCCTGGAAAACCATGTTGCTCACCGATGAGAAGAAGCCTTGCAACATCGCTAGTTGTTGGTGATCTCAAATACTACTCGCCAAATACCTCTACGATAGCTTGACAAAATCTCTTCAGGCTTTCAATTGCAATTGACTCTTCAATTTTCACATATTCTTCAGTGGCATCTGTTGGCAAACCGTATGCCAAAATTCTAAACACAGTTGTAATTTTTTGTAAAGTAGATAATCCAAATCTGCCCAGCGCATCAGCGCGTCGTTCGAAGTACGTATCATGAGCTTTAATTGCATTTAACAATTTCAACAGCCACAACCACAACAATACTCTGCCACATACACTCAATATTTTAATGATATTGGTGGATCTTGAAGCAACCTACCAAAGTACTAAATTATTGTTGTAATTTTCTCATCCTATTATGTTATTAATGTATTTTCAATTTTAATCTATGTCAGTTGCCACTATATATATTAAATATTTATTATGTTATTTAATGAAAATTGTATTATTTATTAACAAAATATTACATTTTATATTTGCACTTTTTATTTGTCATAGTTAGATTTTTTTATACTATTATAACTTATAATAAAATTAACTTACAATTATATATAAAAATAATATATATATATATATATATATATATATATATATATATATACGAAAATTAATTTATAAAAATTATACACCAAAATTAAGATGTAAAATTAATGTAATAAAAATATTACATAAAAAGTACAAGTAAGTACAAAATTTATAATATGCTAAACTAAAAGTGTTATAAAAAATAACAATAAAATAGTGATGAATAGTGTTACACCAAATTATTGGTGTAACACTATTCACACTTCAAAATGGTGTAAGAAATGGTGTTGAGTTGGAGAATCGAAACACCAAATCTAACACCAAAATAACATTTGACGTAAACATTGGTGATCACGCCCAACTATGCCTTATAAAAAGGACTAAGCGGTCGTTGCAAATATAATCCGGTTTACAAGTCTGGAGTCGAATCCCACAGAGAACTAAGGCTTAGCTATAGTTGTTCATTATCGCTAAGAAACACAAATCCAAACAATTTTCTAATTATAAAGATTATAATTTTATTTTTATCTAATTAACTAACAAATCTAGAAAGCCGTAAAACTATCAATTAACAAGGATAAGGATTGGATTCAAGATTAAGGAGGTCTAGAGTTATGATTTCCCCAATTGTCGGAATCCTTCCCGCTACGTTTTCTATAAATTCGCCTAAGTATTCTCTACCGATCATGAGCGCTCTGACTGCCGTAACTCTCTCCCGAGTAATTACCACAATTTACTAGACGCACTCTCCCGAGTTACGCTAGCTGGCTTTGTTTATTACAGCTCACTTTAGATTGCACCCAAGGCTTCGTTATCCCTAATCCCACCTTTAAACCCGTAGTTATAGATCCCTCTTATACTTTGGGAGTGGTGTTGTTCAACAACTACCTAAATATACACTCTCTCCCGAGTTATGCACACTAAATAGGCACAGCTAATTGAGGATCCTGTCAATTAACTACAACAAACACGTAGTTGAACAAATAGAGAAAATACTACGGCTCAATTATATAAAAATAACAAGAATGTATCCTACAAAAGGTTCCATCAAAACCCTAGATAACAAATTAGCTATTCATAATAGCATGTAAAACTACAATACTAAAAGTCATAACCAACAATGAAAAATAGGAAGAGGAAGGAAAAACTCGTAGAAGAATTCCCCGCCTTGCTCCTAGCGTGTTCTTGCCTCCAAGGGTGTTGTCTAACCCTAAAGTAGTGTCCCTCTCTCCAAAGTGGTGTTTTAGGATGTATTTATATGACTTAGGGTTGATGAGGGGCGGAATTCTTCAATCCAACTTCGGATGGGAGAGCTGGAATCCGCGTCTGCCTTCGCGTCTAGACGCGGACTTTGACGCGGATGCAGCTTTTGAAATTCTTCCATTTCGCGAAGCGCTCCGTGCCTTTGCTTCACTTCGCTGTTTTGTGCCTTAATTTTTCTCCTTTTTCGCGTCCGACTTCGTGCCACGCACGAGAGTAGACGAGCTCCCACTCCTTTAATTTCTTCTTTTTTTGTCGAATTGTCATCTTTTGATCATTTATCATCCAAACTCGTTCCTACACATAAGAAACACATAATGAGTATATTTCACTTCGAAAATCATGTAATCTCCCGCGACACACACAAGAATTAATATGCAAATATACTCAAAAATATGCACTTTTCATCATTTATCAATTGGCGCAGGGTAGGAGATGGTCTGACAAGGTAGGGCAGATTGCTAATAAGTAAAATGCTCAAAGAATTTTAAACAACATGATTTAGAGTAATGAGCTTTTGAAATGGAATGGATAGACTGTCAAGTCCCGCATTAATTGAGGAATGAGTTGTCATCTCTTTATGCAGTCTTGGTCAATCATTCCCTCATGAGCTATGTTTTAGGGTCGAGTTAAAAATTCCTTCACATGGTATCAGAGCTAGACCTATGGTCCATGTTGATGTATTTCTCAATGTTGAGCCCCCTTCTTACGTTATCCACACTCTAGTTGTCTGGTATTAGGCGTGTTGGGGAGTGCCAAGTCCCACATTGGTTGAGAGAATGGATTATAATCTCTTCATATGGTGTTGACGGTCCTTCCCCCGTGAGCTAGTTTTTGGGTCTTCATTCTTGGTTCTTTTACTAGCCGTTGCTCATCTTCGGTTCTTGCTTATCAAATCTTCAGCAATTTTTTATGAGCATCTGCAATTCTCTTGACATCTTTTCAAACCTTATATGATTGTGAACCTCCAAACATGATGAGATATCTTCTTGGTAGCAACTCTCATGATATGGTTGAACAACACATGCTTCGAACTTCGAAGTGACGAGGTTCAAGCTGTCTTGGAGAAAAATGTTGACTTATCCCCAGTAACATATGAAGGAAACAACAGATAAGAAGACTCAATGACTATATTAATTTGGGATCCTGGCTAGAATAGTTTGACATTATGCGGGAGTTAGTTAAAATGGGATTGGACGTGTAGGTAGCTTAATTTCCCGTAGTATTGCTCTGCTGTTGTTTACTATAGCGATTCTTGGATCGTTCCCAGTTTAGCTTGTGTTTGTGAATCCTCATCCTTATATTTATAAGCTAAGTTTTCTTGTAAAATAATATTATCTTCACTTCTTGTAATTGCCTTGTAATGTTCACTTTTCAGGTATGTGTATTCTATTTGGTTCTTCGAGCCCTTGACACTGTTGGTGTGTAAAACCACTGCTTGCAATATTTTTATTTTTTGAACATTTCAACTGGAATTACCTCACTTTTGTTATGCATAAGTTATTTGTTGTTCTTTTGAACAGAGGATGATACCAGCATAGCCACAGAGGTTAAAGTACCTATTCTGATAGCTTTTCATCGACACATATATGATCATGAATGGCATTTTTCATGTGAGTCGTCTAAATTTCTCTTTCTTCCCATTTCTTCTTTTTTTACTCAACATTGTTAACTTTTCTACTTTGATAAAAGCTGCTCGTTTATGATTGTCGAAATGCTTCAAAATCAAAGTGCTTTTTTCTTCTTCTTTGGCTAGTTGTTTTTTGGTTTTCCATTTGGATTGAACCCAAAGGATCTCATGGACCAGTTCCATTTCCGGTTGAGAAATCCCGCTTTTTGTTTGTTAGGTGGTACAGATGCCTACAAGGATCTCATGGACCAGTTCCATCATGTTTCGACGGCTTTTTTGGAACTTGGAAGAAAGTGAGTTCTTCTGTCGCAGTACATTACACTAAACAATAGAAAACTTATAAAATTGTGGTGGAATTGTGGCATGAGCCATCTAACAGAGTTCTGATCATAAGAATATTTTCATGAAAAGGTTGCATATTAATCATCTTGCTACTATGAGCCTAAAGACTTCATGAACTCTGCTCTTAATTGTAGTCTGTAGATATACAAAAGCTTTGTTTAGGAGAATGTGCGTTTGGCACAGTATACTACGATATAATACAGATCTATAGGAATGTCAAGTGTACTTCAGCTACAGTTTTAGCCTTCTTTCTGGAAGACACTCGACCAAGTGTATATTTGATCAGTTTACATGCTTTAAGGATCAGGTACTATTGTGATGCCAATGCATGTGAATACTTTGGAATGAGACATTATATTCATGTAATTTTATAGTTATCAGCAGGTGATTGAAGATATTACTATGAGGATGGGTGAAGGAATGGCTAAATTCGTAAGCAAGGAGGTATGTCACCTACAGAATCTTAGCAACATTTCTGAGAGAAATCGCTTGTCAATAATAATAAGTACTATTGGCCACAACAAAAATACATCTTCATTTTCTATTATAAATCATCTTTTATGTATCAAGGCTGACATCAAACTCTGACTTCAACCTTTAGTAATCGATAACTAGAATGTGCCCAGTGCAAGATACACTTTCGAACATTTTACGATTTTCTGAATGCTTCAATGATCCCTCTATCTCCTTGGATTTTTAATACAACTAATTTTGCCATGCAGATTGAAACAATTGACGATTACGAGGAATATTGTCATTATGTAGCTGGGCTTGCAGGATTAGGCTTGTCAAAACTTTTCCATGCCTCTGGTAAAGAAGATTTAGCTCCAGATTCTCTTCCCAATGCTGTGGGCTTATTTCTTCAGGTATTAACCTTAACCTTAGCTGGACTAGGTGCCACCATGGGCATCCTCGATCGTAATGTTGTTGTTTTAGGGAATTAACAGTAACATATTTATTTCAGAAAACAAATATCATTAGAGATTATTTGGAGGACATAAATGAAGTACCCAAGTGTCGTATGTATTGGCCTCGTCAAATTTGGAGTAAATATGTTAACAAACTTGAGGTTTTGTCTTCTTCCTGTGCTATCTTGATCATCTTACAGTTAAGCAGATAAACATTTGTGTCATTTTGAGGTTCACTGTTTTGCAATTGGCATCTTTTTCGATATGTGTCTCAGGACTTGAAGTTCGAAGAGAACTCGGTCAAGGCAGTACAATGTCTCAATGACATGGTCACTAATGCATTATCACATGCAGAAGACTGTCTGGTTTGCCTATCCACATTACGTGATCCAGCTATCTTTCGATCCTGTGCTATACCACAGGTACGTACTGAAGGTTTTTCCTGATTTTTATGCTTGTATGTTCCATTGTACTGTTTAGATTTATCCTCTCCTTCTTGCTATCTGTTAGTTTCTTATCTTTTACAGATCATGGCTATCGGAACATTGACGATGTGCTACAACAACGTTGAAGTCTTCAGAGGTGTTGTAAAAATGAGACGAGGTATGGTATATGATTTCTCAACATGTAACTTGCTGATAAATTTTTCACTCCAAATCGCTCACATTTACTGTTCTGATGACTTATCTAGCCCCTAGTAAATTTGGCCAATTTTTGACGTGTTCGATCTTCTTATAAAGTTTTGTCCATAAAATTAATATTCAGAATTCTCTCAACATCATCAAGTTATCATGTGGTTTCTTCAATGTAGGTCTCAGTGCCAAGGTTTTTGACCAGACCAAGACAATGGAAGACGTATATGGTGCTTTTTTCCATTTTTCTTCTATACTGAAATCCAAGGTATGATGCTTATATTTATTCTCTGAGCTAGCTTTGATTCCTATCTTTAACTTGATCATTCTAAAAGTTCAATAACTATTGTCAGGGATGCCCTAGCTTTTCGCATTAAGTTCCTCAAATTTTGTGTACCTGTCACATTCAGTTCAATACATGTGGATTCATCTGAATCGATAACTTTCGACACAGAGTGTATATATATGTGTGTGTCTAAAAATCTATTAAAATCTCAACAAAATATTGGATTTGTATCCATAATTTTAATGGTATAATTAGTTCAGTACAAAATTGAACCCATTAAGTTTGAATCCTGAATCCGCTACTGGATGTGAGATAATTGCTTTTTCAGGTTGACAATAACGATCCAAATGCAACAAATACTTTGAAGCGGATTGAATCAATCATGAAAACTTGCTCTGGAACCTTGACTAAAAGGTTTTCCAATTATATTTAGTTGTTTATTATGGTTTTTTTTCCTGGAATTTTGGTCTGCTTCATCTATCTAACCACTAGAAAAACTTTATCTTATCAGGAACAAGCCTAATTACATACCAACTTTGGTAAGTTTTCTGCTGATAATTTTGTACACTTTGATGACTAACTCATCTTTCTGCTATTGAAATTTTTTAATTTCTTGAATACTTTGTGCAGATTATTGTCTTTTTGGTCGTCGTGGCTATTCTTCTTGCTTACCTGTCTGCAAAAAGACCCTAGACCCTTGGTACGGATTGGGCGAATGACTATTTTATTTGACCAAATGAAGAATTGCATAAAAGTTTTTTCGTATTTTGATTTTGATGCATGCATGCATGCATGCATGCCACTCTCATGTGGTTCAAATCTGAATGTTAGTTTTACCTGTCTTATGTTTTTGGTTGCAGCTTTGATGCCATCTTTGCAGTGACTTGGGCTCTAGGACTTTACTACTATGAGGTCTTCTCAAACAAGGCACCAATTTGTTAAATCTTTGTGCATGGTAGGGATGAAATATTATGGTGTCGATTAGGTTGGAACAAATTTATACCGGTCATGATAACTCAATAAACATGTCTTCATCTAATTTATCCAAAATTTAATCCGTTCAAGTTGAGTTGGAAGTGGATCACAATCCAATTAGCATGAGTTATTACTAACTTTTTGTTGGGGGCTTTTTCGTATATTAAACTTATTTATCCGGTTTATCTAAGTTTTCCAATTACAGAAAGTAACTAAAGTTTTTATACAAAATATATACAAATCCAGTCAAAATCTACAATTTATCTACAACTAAAAAAAAGATTATACAAAATATGTGTAACGATCCGACCAGTCGTTTTGAGCATTTGCATTCCGTTCGGTGGTTTGAGATCGTGAGTAGCTTCATATGATATGTTATAACTTTGCGTGTATCGCTGGTTTTGGTTTTCAAATGGTTCGGGATTGGTTTTAGAAAAATGATTCTTAACTAGGAAGCTTAATGTTAGAAGAGTTGACCAAGTTCGACTTTTATGTATTTGACATCGGATCGGAGCTTTGATGATTTCGTTAGGTCCATGGTGAATTTGGATCTTGGCGTATGACCCGATTTGCATTTGGATATTTCTAGAAGGTTTTGGCTTTATTTGGCGAAAGTTGGCAATTTGAAGGTTTGGGAAGTTTATAGGTTTGACTGGGAGTTGACTTCGATGTTATCAAGTTTGGATTGTGGTTCCTGGAATTGGAATAAGTTCGTTATGTCATTTGAAATTTTTATGCAAAATTTGAGGTTATTCCAAGTTGATTTGATATGATTCGGCACGAGTTTTGAAAGTAGAAAGCAAATTAATTCATTAAGCTCGATTTGATGTGCGATTCATGGTTTTGATGTTGAAATGTGTGATTTGAGGCCTCAAGTAGGTGCATATTATGTGTTGACTTGTTGGTATGTTCGGACGGGGTCTCGAGGAGCTCGGGTAAGTTTCAAGATAATTTTGGATCACTTCGGAGGATGATTTCATTGTTGGTTTTTGTTGATTTCTGATGCCCCAGTTGTTCTTCGCGATTGCGTAGTTTAGGATTGGAGCTAGGTGATCCGAACCGCCAGCTAATACTCTCCCTCCGCCCTTACAGGGTTAAATAGTACTGGCTAGCCAATTTTCGTCTGTCATTAAAAAATAGCCAGCGTTTGCAAAGTCATTGAAAAATAGCCACTATTTTGCTGCAACATGAAAAGTTCCAGCATAATATACTGGAGATCGGTGCACCTGTGTATGAACTTCCAGCATATTATGTTGGAACTCCAACATGCGGAAAGTTCCAGCATAATATACTAGAGATTGGAGCACTTGTGTATCAACTTCCAGCATATTATGCTGGACTGGTATATTATACTGGAATTTCAGTATATTATGCTGGAGCATTTTTCGGAACTTGAACAGTGTTTTCATTTTTTATCTTTACATGAATAGTAGCTAAATTTCGATTACTTTTAAAACTGCGACTGTTTTTGAATGACCACTTGTAAATATGATTATTTTGAATTTCTCCTCCTTACTGGAGCGTACTCATAACTAGTTAGTTTTAAATAAATTTGGGGTGAATTAGATCAATGGTAAATTGGAAAAGCTTACGAAACTTAATATAGCAAACATTTCTCTCCACCTTTTAACGATATTTATCATTTCATTTAAAAGGAAAATACACATTCTTTGGAATATGCATCTTTAAAACTATTAGTTTCAGTGTTCGCGCGTTGCGCGTGTATTTTGTCTCAATCGGTATCAAATTGTTATATCATATTAAAATTTATATTTTTGTTATAAAATACAATTAAAAAGTATAATTAAGTTCCTGAAATGATAAATTGTTAATCTTATTTACTATTTAATAAAGGAAGAAACTTTATCTCATAAAAGTACGTGATCATCTCAATCAGTATGTAACTTAAAATTGATTTCAGTTTTATTATTCAATTACTTAAGTTTCACAAGTTATTTTTTTAATAGTTTCAACAAGAAAACATAACTTTTGAAGATTTAATGTTTTTAGAGTAAAGTTATTTTTAAAAAACTTTGATTCCCCAAAAGATTTGAATTGTTTTGAAATATCCAAACCTAGAACTACGCTATATCCTTTCTTTGATATTTTTCTGCAATAGTTTTGAATTGCACATGAACTCGAAATAGTAAAATCATTGGCCACATAACTATTCGAATAAGTGAAGTTTCTTTTCACATTCCGTTAAAATCAGAGTACGGGTAGAATTCACATTCCATTATTGTTAAATTCAATTGATGAATTTCTTAAATATAAATTATAGGTATTTTACATAGTTCAAATAAAGAAAGAATTTAGATAAGGTAAATTCTTAATTGATTTTAAAGTACTATATATTATGACTTTCTACTTACCTCAAATAAGAAACATTTTATAATTAAACTTTTAGTTGATTATAAAATTTGAAAATATTAAGAAAATAATTTAATTATAATTGTGTTTTATATAAAATCTATTAAAAACTGGTAGAAAGTTGGACAATCAATACGGTGATAAGGTCAAATGCAAGCATGACGAAATAGTAGAAGAAATAGCCGGACAAAGGTTAAAGTATACCGTCTAATGCAAAAAGGTAATTATTCACTCAAAGAACACCAAATAAAGATGTATTCGTTGAATAGGTGAATGTAAAATTTATATACAAATAAAATTAATGCAAATACAAAGTTTACAAAATATTAAAGAATAATTTAACTACTAAAGCAAATGCGCAAATCCAAAATTCAACTACTAATACAATAACTTTTTGCTCAAAGAAAGAGAACCTGGAACCCTTAATTTTGTATGCTACTCGAACAAAACAAATTTTGGATGATGAAAAGTTGTAATTGTAAATCCTTTTATAAAAGTATCTAGGTATATAAAATTAAGTAAAAAATTTATTAAAAAATAAAGACTCTTAAACCAAAAAGAAGTTCAAAGAACTCATTTTCATCGGATATATTTTATTAAAAAATTAATCTGTCAAAATTTTATACCAAACTTTTCCTGGTGTGCGTGAATTATTCAATATTTTATTAACTAAAAAACTTTCCAAGTGTAAAATTTTAATACTCCTTACTCGGTGTTTGAAAATATTTCCTAGGGTGTGTGAATTAGAATTTTATAAACCCAAAGAAGAATCCTCCTAAATCTGAAAGGAAGAATTTAATATTGCTCCTAAATATAAATGGGGTTGAATGGAAAATTTCTTATTGTGTAGTTAACGAAAAGCTGTGTGCTTAAAATTCTAGAACCAAAAGGAGTTGAAAAATTAATATTATATATATTAGGAAAATAATTAAATAATTATTGCTAAATAATAGGAAATTAATTAATGACAATTCCTAAATAGTAAAAAGTTAATCAAATGACTATTTTGTCTAGTGTGAACTCTATTATAAAAGGGTAAAAAAGACGAACGATATTTCGCTAAGGACCTTGGTGCTTTTAATATAGTATAGATTAAAACTATTACACAAAAAATAAGGACAAACTATTTGATAATTTACATCAATTACTAGCAATATTATTATTTTTGCATTTATGATGTTCTCGTTTTCTTTTTAAAATTTTAAATTATTAGATATTTTATAATTTCTCACTTACCAATTCCAATTTGGCTTATTATCTCAGTTCAATTTATTTTACGTACTTAGTTATCTATTCATTTCCCATGTATGTCAAAATGAATCACTTAAATCATTTATATTATGAAAATCGTTCAAAGAGAAAATAATTAACAAGAACAAAGAAATCACTTGTGAAATTAAAAAATAGCCAGATTTACAAGTGGTAATTGAAAAATAGCCACAGTTTCAAAAGTAATCGAAATTTAGCCACTTTTCATGTAAGATAAATCTAGACGAAAATACTGTTCAAAATCCGAAAAATATTCCAGCATAATATACTGGAGTTCCAACTTCCAACATAATATACTGGAGTTCCAGCATAATATACCGGAGTTCCAGCATAATATGCTGGAAGTTCATATACAAGTGCTCCAATCTCCGGTATATTATGTTGGAACTTTCGTGTGTTGAAGTTCCAGCATATTATGATGGAAGTTCATACACAGGTGCACCAATCTCCAGTATATTATACTGGAACTTTCCGTGTTGCAGCAAAATAATGATTATTTTTTAATGATTTTGCAAACGTTGATCATTTTTTAATTATCAGTTCAAAAACTGACTAGGCCGTTCTATTTTCACCTTAGGGCTGGCATGTGGGCCGGTTAGGCCCGGGCCCGGCCCAAGCCCGCGAGCCCATATGGGTAGTGGGCCTGAACGGGCCTAACCGTTTAAACCCGGGACCAGGTGGGGTGGGCTGCTAAGTGGGCTGGTCCCCTAAAAAGCCCGTGAGACCGGGACCGTTTGGGCCCGGGATCGGCTCCTAACTGCGCCGGTTCAACCGGTCCTAAACGGGCTCAAGGGCCCAACGGCTATTTTTTTAAAAAAAAATTTATTCCAAATTTTTTTTAGCCGTTACAAAAGTTTAAAAAATGGTCGTTGGCCTGCAAAAATAGCCGTTTGCTATTTCTAAAATAGCCATTTAACCCCTCTCCTCCTCCCCCCCCCCCCCCAACTTTGTTTTAACCCCAAATTTTTTATAATTACACTTTTTCCCTATTTTCAACTATAAATACCCCCTCATTCTTTCATTTTTCTCCCAAAATCATCAATCTCTCAATCTCTCTCTCTAATTTTCTCTATAATTGCTTACTTTATTGTTGTAATTTGTGAAAAATAATGAAATTGGTGAATTGAAGTATTCAAGTCTTCAACGATATATAATTTTCAACAAGTTGTTTGTCAATTCGGTAAACTCGTTCCAACTCTTAAGTTTTAATATTATAGTTTGGTTTTGTTTTATTTACTTTTGTATTGATTTATTAATTAAGATGGATTTTTCGTTAAAAAAATGTTTAGTAAAAATAAGGAAAAATCCAAGAGTAGTGAATCTAGTGGCCAATCTATTCCTTCTCCAATTCCCCGGGCTCCCCTACCCAAACCCCATACCCGCCCTCCACCTGCTCCTATTCTTGATAGTGATAATACTTTATTACAATTTACTGAGAGTCAATATTTGCATAATGTTGGAGGTGGTGAACACTTAGACCATGAATATATGAATGCTT